CTTAAGACTTTCCTTTTTGCTAAATCCTATAGTTAGGGTTGGCTTGGGTTTCCTGAGCTATCCCTTAGGTTGTTTTCACACCAGATAATCCGGTAGACTCTGTTCGGTTCGGGACCAATATTCATAACATTTTGTTTACATTTGAGCTGGTGCGTTTGCATTCACACTGCACTGTGCAGTCGAGTCAACCTGTTGAACCAACCTATTCCCCCGCTCGCCTGTGGGGGCGCTGCACCAAGAACTACTGAAAGAAACAACACAAAAACCTCTGAAGACATGTCTTCTCATTCTTCTGTAAATAAAAACAAAAACGAAGTGGCATCAAGTTTTAGGAGTTATATTTTGTCTTTTTTCAAAAATGGACTTAGCGTGAGCAGAAGATGAGGCAGAAGACCATGGAGAATATTGATTTTCACACAAGGCAGTTGACAGATCCATATAAGGTCAGAGAAATGCATGTTTGTTTGTCCTGCGGAGCGAGGCCCGGTCTGATTACATTCACACTCTACTCGAACCACGCTGGAGTTCTCTTCTACCGGACCGAGACCTAGGTTTTAGCCCGGGCCAGAGTTCGCCTTTTTGTTCCCTGACAGAGTTCGATGGTGCGTTCACACCTCCCTAACCAAACCGGACTTTCTAGGAAAACGAGCTAGAGTTCGATTACAGCAGACTAAACAGGGCTAGTGTGAATGCACCCTTACTTATGCTGCTATAGGCTTAGACTGCTGGAGGACAAAATTACCACACTTTTCACTCTGCTACTGTCTTTACTTACTCTGCTCAAACTGTTTTGTATTTGTAATTATTTTTTCTATCCTTAACATGTGTTTTTTTTTGTCTTTCAGATACACCTGGATCTATATCTGGACCTATCATTCTATGTCCGTCTGTCTATCCTTCCTGTCCTCTCAACAAGCCGGTCAAAGCAGATGGCCGCTTGTCCTGAGCTTGGTTCTGCTGGAGGTTTCTTCCTTTTAAAAGGGAGTTTTTCCTTTCCACTGTTGCCACTGTGCTTGCTCAGGATGGGAGACTGCAACGAAGCCAAGATTCAACTTGTCTGCTGGATTCCTTAGATAGAGAACTTTACTAATTTGCGTCTATGTATGTGAATGTTCCTGTAAAGTGCCCTGAGACAACCTTTGTTGTGATTTGGCTCTATATAAATAAATTGAATTGAATTGAATAGGTCTAAAAATGGCAGAGTTATGGTATTTTTTCTCTTTTAGCTAAGGTGGCCATCTTGTACTTTTGATTTGGATTCAATATGTGACAGAGAAAGTCCTCAGCTACAACCTCACCAAATTTCAGCTCTCCGTGTATAAAATTGGCTGAGTTAAAGCCATTTAAAAGAAGCATTGGTGGCCATCTTGGATTTTTGATTTTGATACAGCATTTGATAGGAAATATTCTCAGTTATCACCACACCAAGTTTCAGCTCAATATCACTAAAATTGACCGATTTATAGTATTTTTCCATTTTTGCTTTGTTGGCCATCTTGCAATTTTTATTTTCAAAAGCTACTTCACCTAACTTGCATGTTGGATCAAAATGGCTACTTCACCTAACTTGCATGTTGAATCAAAATGGCTGCTTCACCTAACTTGCATGTTGAATC